TTATTACAAATTATATCAGTAAGGAAGCTGACTAAATATTAACTGATAATTTATGGCAAAGGGGTGGGATTAAATAAGTTTACTTCTTCCCTTTCAACATGTAAATTAATAATTTTTTTGTATGTAATTTGTACAGTATTTTTTTTTCTTTCTTATTTTCTTTTCTAAATGTATTTGTATATTGTTCACATGTTGAAATAAATTACCAATCAATCAATCAAAGAGGATTTCTTTTTTCAGAACTTTCAAGGGAACTTCAGAAAACGTTCCCTGAAAGTTATTTTGGGAAACCTTCAGAGCACCTTCAGGGGACCCGTCTGAAGGTTATTCTGCAAAGCTCCCAAGACCTTACGAGGACCCTAATCTCAACAGTCCCTTTTAAAGGAGCACTACGGCACAGAGCACCTGGAGGACCTTCTGTTGAACTTCTACAATCTACTTCAATCCCAATAGAAGCTTTGTTATGTTGTCACATCGTCAAAGGACCTGCCTTAATGTTCTCCGGTTGTGTGAAAAGCCCAGAGGGCCTTCAGAGAACTCAGTATTTTTTTGGAGAACTTCAGGAACCAAGAGCTTTTAGGTTCACAGGGCAAAGGAAGAAAGATCCTTATCAGAGTGGGAATGAGCTCAAGAAAGTCACCCCAGATTGATTAATTTCTTTCGTTCATCCATCCATCCTCCTACAATCGCCACTTACTTTCTCCTTTGTTCTTGTCATAATTACCACAGCCGCTAGAGTGTACCATCACAATAAGCTTCAATAACAAATGATCTACAGGCTTGTATTTTACTGGTCAACATTATATTGCTGCTCCTGATTTACAGGAGGCCAGTGAAGGCTCAACAGACCTGATAGGGACGAGCCAAGAAGCTTGAAAGCTCTCTTTGAAATGTAAATGTCCCACCCACTTAAGGACACACAAGATCTTCTCTCCACTTTCTGTCACCTGCAGATGACACTGAGATGACAATGGAAGGACACATTTGTAGTCTGAGCATTAGTGATTTTATTCTGTCTCATTAAAAATAAACGTTAATGAATAACGGGAACATCAGTTGCAGGAATACAAGTCGGAAAAAAACAATATTGCCGCACATTTTTTAACTAACCTGTCATTACTAGTGCAATTTTCTGTTAGGGCATCAGCAGCAACAGAGCCAGCTGATCAAGCTGATTAGGCTTGGCCTGGCTCTGGGGTCTCTGGAGCCCATACAGGTGTTTCCTGGGCAAAGATTGTTGCTGAACATACTGGACAACACCTCACATCCCCTAAAGGACCTACCGGTCAAACAGCAAAGTGTGTTCAGCAGCAGCCTCCTTCAACTCTGCTGCAATTACAACAAAAATCTTTCCTACTCACTCCACCTAAAATGGGATATTTGTGTCTTCTCCGAGCAGCAATCTTTCACTTGTTAGCCAGATTTGCAAACCTTTACACCAGGGGTCCCCAATCCCAGTCAACGAGGGCTGGTGTCCTGCAGGTTTTAGATTTCATCCTGGGTCAACACACCTGAATCACATGATTAGTTCATTACCAGGCCTTTGGAGAACTTCAAGACATGTTGAGGAGCTAATTTAGCCATTTAAATTAGCTGTGTTGGTTCGAGAACACATCTAGTGTGTTCATGTGTTCACGGATGGTGCTAAAAGTCCAGATACTGGAAGTACAGGGTTTGGAATAGCAGTTCCGTCAAAAAAATATTGAAATAAACAGGCGCACTTCGGATAGACTGACAGTGTACATGGTTGAAATGGTAGCAATTTTGGTAGCATTGAAATAGGTAAAGTGTTCAAAAATCAGTATGTTCTGACTTGGCAGCTGTTCTTTCAAGTCTACAATCATTTTGTTCGAAGACAAGGCAGGGCATGCTGTAT